TTTAGATTTACAGAAAGAGTTCTTACATACTCCTCACCCAATTTCCCCTATTTTAACGTCTTGTGTTACTATTGTGTATTTGAAACCACTAAGGCAATCAATGACGACAATCAACTAAGTCACACTGAATTCAGATTTCATTACTGTTTCATAGTACTTTTTCTGTTCTTGGGTCTTTTCCAGGATATTGTATTACATATGGTCATCTTGTCTCCTTTGGTCTGTGACAGTTTCTAAGTCTCCCCCCCCCCCCGGGGGGTTTTTTTTTTTTTTTTTTGATAACCTTGACAGTTTTGAGAACTACCGATCAGGTATTTTGTAACATGTCATTTTGGGTTTGTCCGATGTTTGCCTCATGTGTAGACTGGGATTTGGGGTTTAGGGGAGGAATATGACAGTGGTGATGTACCATTTTCCTCACATCATTATCAGTGGTACAAACTATTAACAATGACCTATGACTGATTGTATTAACCTTGATCACCAGGCTGAGACAGTGTTTATCAGGTTTCCCCACTTAGCAAATCACTAAGCGTAGTCCACACTCCTGGGTAGGAGGGGAACGGGGTTAAGATCTACTTCCTGGAGGAGGGAATATCTACATAAAATATTAAATTTTGAATTCTTTAAGAGAGATTTGTCTCTTTCCCTTCATTCATTCATTCATGTATAGCCATATGGACTCCTGGATATTTGCTTTCTACTTTGGGTTATAATAATATAGTATGTTATTTTGGCCAGTGGGAGCTCTTTCCAGTTGGCTTCTATGTCCTTTTGATCTACTCCATCCTTTTTTCCTTTCCTGGCACTATGAGCTCTAGGCTTCTTTTATATATTCCCAGCCCCAACCCTAGAACCTGCAGTTTCTTCAAGGAGCCCTGATTCCTTTTATTGGAGAACAGTATTAGAACCAAGATCTGAGTCTGGGTGCATAGCTACAATTTTAATAGCTCATGTCAACAGTTCTCAAGTGGTTTTACTGATTTACACTCCAACTCTATTTGCTGAATTTCCTATAAAGTTTTTGCTGTTGGGGTGCCTGGGTGGTTCAATTGGTTAAGCACGGGACTCGATTTTGGCTCAGGTCATGATCTCACAATCCTGAGACTGAGCCCCATGTCTGGCTCTGCACTTGGTGTGAAGCCTGCTTGAGATTCTCTCTTTCCCTCTCTCTCTGCCCCTCTCCCACTTGCGTTCTCACTCTCCTTTTTGTTTGTTTTTTCATTTGCCATTTGTATTTGAATTCTTATGGACAAGAGGTTTTAACTTCAACATAGTTAACTGTATCTCCTAATATTCATGCTGGTTCTCAATCATTTCCCTTATTGTGCCCAAGCTGGTAAGTCCCCCTTCTCCTAAGCTATAATGAATATTCTCTGCTATTTTTCCTCCTCTGGTCTGAAGTATTAATGGCTTACTGATTTACTCTAGATTAATTATGTGAAGATGCTAATTAATCTTTTCTGAATGGTTTATCGGTTGTCCTAATAATCTGCACTGGAATGCTTCCCTTTTCAATTACAGTATTCCTTCTATTATACATTAAAATCTTTTGAGATTGTCTTTTCCTGAGTTATCTACTCTGCTTCTTTGATTTGTTTATTATGGTAGCATCCTAGAGAAGGACTGATTGAGTTACATACTCAGCAGTAGAGGGTAAGGCTTTGGAAATGGTTTCAGCTGGGGGCAGTTTGCTGCCCTGAGGACCTTTGGCAATGTCTGAAGACACTTTGTCACAACTATGGGAGATTGAAGGTTCTAATAACATCTAGAGTCCTGCAGTGCTGCTAAACATTATATAGTGCACCTAAGTGTCACTCAGTGAAGAATTATCTAGCCAGAAATGTTAGTAGTGGTGAGATTGAGAAACTCCATTCCTTATGGCAATTCCATAAGGGCAACCAAGAAAGAAAATCAGGCCAGAGTATATGAAAAGGGTGGGAATATCCTATTTTCTAGATGACGTGTCACTTCCCCCAGACCTCATCTCTACTCTTTCTAGAAAAGAATCCATCCTTCCTTTGTGTTCTAGAGTCCTATAAGAGCTCAGAAGATTGCCACTGCATATTTAGAGGTTCCTCTTCCTGTAGCCCAGTGTTCACAGGATCCAGTACCACAGAATATGGCCACACAGAGGCATTTAACCCTGAATCCCCCATGCCTAGAAAAATAGAGTGAAATTAAAAGGAAGGGCTACCTAGTAGAAGGAGAATGACCTTTGTAGTTTGATTGGCTACTTGTCAACTCTTTAACCTGGGCAAGTTTCTTAATTTCTGAGTCCTTGATTCTACAAAATGTGGATAAAAGCCAAACCTTCAGGACTATTTTTAAGAGTAAAGAAAATTTTCATAACCTATACGCTATAGATCCTCAATAAATGTCATTGTTAACATGTGAGGAATGAATATTTTGAACAACAGGCTTTAATTATAAAGAGCAAAAATTTATATCAATAAATTTGCAAATTGAAATCCTCTTAGACCATGGATTCCCATTTTAGTTCAGAACATGTTGGAATTTATGAATGCCTTCACACAAGAGGAGCAACACCAGACAGCATCTGTTTTCCAAACAAAGGAAGACCACAAAACAAGGAAAAAGAACAATTCCTTCAAGAACAGCATAAAACCTTTGGGAAGGAGGCCAAAGTGTATGGTACTTTCTGTCAGAATTGCACATATCTTGTAGGAGTATAAATCCAATAGGATTCAGAACCATCTAGATCTTGGCTCACAGAGACACCTGGAAAGGCAAGAGGAAAAAAAAGTATCAGATTGTGAAAGTTAAGGGGAAAGAGAATACCAAGAAGGTTTTTATTATATGTATGGCACCCTGTAAGTTAGGTGCACACAGTAACTTCTAATCTTTGCAGAGGTAGGTACTGTCATTTTTCTTCTAGACATGAAAGTTGAATCCGAAAATACCTGTTGGGTTTTGTAGCAAGATGGTAATTGGTAGGAGTTATCTCAGTGGAATTCTGGTGGCAAAAGTGAGATCGCAGTGGATTGAGGAGGAATTATAGGTAAAGTATAGAAGACTCTGAAGAAGCTTGAGCGTGAAGATGAAGGGGATGTGGAGTAAAGGGAACATTTGTGTAAGGCTAGACTTGGGCATGTTTAAATGTTAGTGAGAAGGGCTGAGAGGTCAGGGAGACGTTAAGACAGGAGATCACTAATGAATTAAGTCCTTTAACAATTAGAAGCTGATGAGGTTCAGATCACCGGTGGAGCCAAGAGCTCTACAAAAGGAGAAAGAGCCCCTTTGTTACAAAAAGAAAAAGATTGGCCCAGGCACAGTGAAATCTGGAAATTTCTAGGCAGGACCCTAGCGTGTGTTCTGTGCCTCATTTCCCCTCCCCTACCATAGCTTTTCTGTCTTGGAGAAATCTCATTTATCCTTTGAAGTTTCCTCAAATTTACTCTTTTTTTTTTTTTTTTTTTTTTGCTTCTTTAAAAAAAATTATTGTTGGAAACTGTTTTGGTACCATCCTAATCTGTAAACTAGAATATTCTCTGCAGTGCAGACACACACACACACACACACACACACACACACACACACGGTGAGACCCTAAAACAGCTGATGGCTCCCTCATTACTGTAGGATAAAGTCCTGATTTACTATGTAATTTTGAGGTAATTCAATTTTTGCTTAAGAAGTAAAATCCCCTTCTCCATTTTCCCCCATCCTTCTTTTCCAGGCCCATTAGCAAGAATAGGGGTAGGTATTATGGAAGACGGGAAAGATCTAGGTTTTCTGAATTTCTAGGCAATTCTGTCTGTACCACTTACTAGTTCTGACTCTCTAGCCAACTGCTGAAAAGGAGATAAGGCACTTGGAGACCTGGGTTAAGCGATTACCTGCAGGTGCCTGTGCTGAATAAAAAACTGAATAAGGCTCTTAAGTGGCTGATAAATAAGAGGAAAACCGGGCTCAGAAGAGGAGGATTTGATAGTTTTTGAAGAGCTGTCCTAGTGGGAGTGAGAGCATGAAATTGCTCAGTTACCTGGAAGGTATTAGGAGAGACTGGGTTATAGGAGCCTGCGGTTTAAGTGTGAGTAGTCTTTGCTGATAAATGCCAGAGTGGAATATGGTCATGGGAGTTGAGGTATGGGAAATGAGAGAGCACTGTTTTGGGTGGGCTTTAACTTGGAACACACCCAGAGTATGTGTGGTGTTGGGGAGTGGGTGTGAACAGACCCTCATTGGCTGTGTATGGATGTGTGACCAGTGATAATATGACCAGAAGAGGGAGGTGGTGGCATATCTCAACTGTATGAGCTTCAGGAATAATGATACATTGCTGGGGTGCAATAACAGTGTTTCAGGAGCTGAGATCTATGTTGGGTGTTGGTGGGGGAGAGAAGGGATGAGGAGAGTTGCCAGTACTTAGTAGGAGCCTGTTCTGTGCCAGGTGATATATGAACTCTACCTCATTTAATCCATACCATGGTTCTCTGAGGGTGATTCTGATCTTCTCACTTTGCAGGAGAGTAAACTGAGGCTCAGAGAGATGAATTGCCTTTATTTATTTATTTTTTTTTAACATTTATTAATTTTTGAGAGACAGAGCACATAAGCAGGGGAGGGGCAGAGGGGGAGGGAGACACAGAATCGGAAGCGGGCTCCAGGCTCTGAGCTGTCAGCACAGAGCCCGACATGGGGCTCGAACTCCTGAACTGAGTGAGAGATCATGACCTGAGCTGAAATCAGACGCTTAACCGACTGAGCCACCCAGGTGCCCCTGTTTCCTAACAGCTAATAAGTGGTAGGACTGGGAGTAACTCTGGGAAGGTGGAAGAAACATACAGTTGTCTGTGTTAAAGGCATGTTTTTATGACAGCAAATGTGTTCCAGGAGGCACTAGGTCAGTACTGAGCCTAATACACTGGGCTTCAACACATTTGTTGAATTTGTATTTTTATAGGGATTTTGTTTTTCTAATCTTTTCCATCAGTCCTGTTTATTCACATTCTTTTGTTTCCCCCACTGAAGCCTGAGTATTGATCCGTGGACAAGATGACAGATGGGTCATCGTCTTCCTTCTTTCCTGATTTTGGGCTGCTCTTGTATTTGGAGGAGCTAAACAAAGAGGAATTGAATAAATTCAAGTTACTTCTAAAGAATGAGACCATGGAATCCGGGTGCTGCCAGATACCCTGGGCTGAGGTGAAGAAGGCCAAGCGAGAGGACTTGGCTAATTTGATGAACAAATATTATCCGGGGGAACAAGCCTGGGATGTGGCTCTCAAAATCTTTGGCAAGATGAACCTGAAGGATCTGTGTGAGAGAGCAAGAGCAGAGATCAACTGTGAGTGATGCTGGGGACCTATCTGGGGGTGGGAGAAGGATGTGCTTCCTGAGGCCCATTGGGATGATTCTATGAAAGGGACTTGGGGATTGAACCATTGTTGGGTAATTTGAGAAACACTGAAGAGGCAGGAGCATTTTGAGTATTGTTACTCAGCCTGGCTCCTTAATTGGGGGTAATTCATCCATCTTGTACCAATTATGATGATTAAAGGAACTGAGTGATAATAATTGTCCCATCTGGTGTTCCTGTGCCTGAACTGCTGCAGATAGTCCTAGGTTGCACTAAATTTTAAGTAATTTCGAATATGATTTAAAATATTTGCTAACATAGGAGGAATGGGCAAAATTTTGTTAAGGGGCATAAGCCAAGCCAATATTTCTGGTCATTCCTAAGTATGAAATATTATAGACGTCAAAACTTCCTTACTCGTATGCTTTACAAGGCTTTACAGCTACAAAGTGTGTATTCATTATTTTCTAGGAACCTCACCATATCCCGGCGAGGTCAGTGTAGACCAGGCTTAGGCTAGACCACTTGCCCTAACTACAGGATGGAGGGCCTCGCAAGAGGTCCCTGCTACAGTGGTGCTGACACATCACTTCTCCCCCAGCTAAGCTGGTGGAGTCTGAGGCTCTGTTGGCTCTGCTTTTCTTAAGCCCAGATGTCCTAGAATTGGACCACTGACGGCCATTCTGGCCCCTGTTATGGCTGTCAGTAAAGCTCTCCTTGTTTTTGGTGAATCTCACAATCCTGTTGGAACCTGTTGCAGGGACAGCCCATTCCCTGGGACCAGAGGATGCCAGGACACAAGAGGAACAAGATGAGCAGGAGGCAGTGCAGGGTGAGCAGATGTTTGGTTTTTGTTTTGTTGTCAGATTTGGGAGGAGGTTGAGTGTTTGAAATGTGATGGGGGGTTATGCCCCAGGAGACAGTTGTTCACCTCTTCTTAACTTCTAATATACTACCTGTTGATGATTATTCAAAAAGAGTCAACAAAACTGGCTCTCTGACTGAGGTCAAAATCTGGGCCGTGTTAATTCAGGGCCTCAGTGAGCATAGTATTTGGAAACGCCCAGTCAGAAGTTCACAGTCTGATGAAGAAAGGTATATTCGCGTCTCATTTACAAGTTAGTGAGTCCCTGAGTTTGGCAGGGACTATTTGGCTTATCATATCTACTTCCTTCCTTTAGAAATGATGCTGTAATTGAGTTCCAAGAGTGGTGACCAGCTAGTCCATATAGCATGTAGTTTCTAGAACCAGGTCTTCTTAGTCTTCGTTCAATACCATTTCCATCCCCCCTGCTTAGCTTTAAATTCCATGTAGTTGAATTCTAGTTTGTGTAAATGGAATTACAGTAGAAAGAAACTTGATCAAGTAAGAAATCATTCTTAACCCAGCTATGCTGCTTTCTGATGGGCCATGTTATTATTCTTTTTTTTTTTTAATGTTTATTTGAGAGAGAGCAAGCAGGGGGACTGCAGAGAGAGGCAGAGGGAGAATCCCAAGCAGTCTCGATGCTGCCCAGTGTGGGGTGCAAGCCCACAAACCATGAGATCATGACCTGAGTCGAAACCAAGAATTGGACGTTTAACCAACTGAGCCACCCAGGTGCTCCTGAGCCACATTACTTCACTCAAGAAGTAATTGATACCTGCTTTTTTCCAAGCACTAATAAATAAAAAATGCTTCCTGTGTTAAGTGATCTTGAAGATAACTTTTTGCTTTGAGCTTAATTTCTGATTCAGTGTAAGGAAGTTTATTCTTATAGTATTTATTACTGGCCATAAATTTAGGAAATTAGGATTCCTTCTCATAGAAATTAACTGTTAGAAAATTTGGAAGATAGATAAAAGTACCATGAAGAAAGTAAGTCATCCTCATAGGTGCACCTGGATGGCTCAGTCAGTTCAGTGTCCAACTTTGGCTCAGGTCATGATCTCGTGGTTTGTGGGTTTGAGCCCCACATTGGGCTCGCTGCTATCAGCACAGAGCCCTCTTTGGATCCTCTGTCCCCCTCTCTCTCTGCCCATCCCCCACTCACACTTTGTCTCTCAAAAATAAATAAACATTAAAAATTAAGAACCAATCATCCTCATGATCCCAATTTTCTTTTAAGTGTTACTCTTTTTATGGTATAATATTTAGTAGAGTGTATCTGCCTTGCAATACCTACCTTCTTCTGGAGGAGATCTAAGCATAATCTCGTGGGACCTGAATTATGTTAGATGTTTGTACTGAATGCCCTGGTAGAATAAAGAAAAGAATTATTTACGTTTAAAAATAATTGTAGCTTGTGAGATGTACTGTGAATGAAAATATAGCATGTTTTGAGAAAAATGAAAGAGAACTATTCTAGCATTGGGGTTTAGAGACAGCTTCTCTGAACAGTGACATTTAAGATCTAAAGAAGGAATTGGACTTAACTAGGTAAGGGTGAAACTATGTTTTCACTTTGCTTGGACACTTGGGAATATGTTTTTAATTTTAATTCCAGTGTAGTTAATGCACAGTGTTATAGTAGTTTCAGGCATGCAATATAATAATTCAACAATTCTGTACATTACTCAAGTGCTCATCATGATAAGTGTACTCTTAATCCCCATCACTTATTTCACCCATCCCCCCCACCCACCTCTCCTCTGGTAACCATCGGTTCTCTGTAGTTGAGAATCTAGTTTTTGGTTGGTCTCTTTGTTTTTTTTTTTCCTTTTGTCCATTTATTTTGTTTCTTAAATTTCACATGAGTGAGATCATGTGATGTTTGTCTTTCTCTGACTTATTCTGCTTAGCATTATACTCTCTAGCTCCATCCATGTTGTTGCAGATGGCAAGATTTCATCCTTTTTTATGGCTGAGTAATATTCCATCATATGTATATACCACTTTTTATTTATCCATTCATCTATCAGTAAACACTTAGGCTGCTTCCATTTCTTAGCTCTTTTAAGTAATACTGCAATAAACATAGGGGTGCATATATCTTTTTGAATTGGTGTTTTCATATTCTTTGAGTAAATACCCAGTAGTGGGATTACTGGATTGTATAGTAGTTCTATTTTTAACTTTGTGAAGAATCTCCATACTGTTTTCCATAATGGCTGTACCAGTTTGCATTCCCACTAACAGTGCACAAGGGTTCCTTTTTCTCCACATCTTCTCCAACACTTGTTGTTTCTATTGTTGTTGATTTTAGCCATTCTGACAGGTGTGAGGTGATATCTCATTATGGTTTTGATTTGTATTTCCCTGATGATGAGTGATGATGAAAATCTTGTGTCTGTTGGCCGTCTGGGTGTTTTCTTTAGAGAAATGTCTATTCATGTCTTTTGCCCATTTTTAATTGGATTATTTGGGTTTTTTGGCATTGAGTTGTAGAAGTTCTTTAAAAAAATATTTATTGGGGTGCCTGGATGGCTCAGTCGGTTGAGCATCTAACTCTTGATCTTGGCTTAGGTCATGATCTCACGGTTTGTGAATTTAAGCATCATGTCAGGCTCTGTGCTGATAGTGTGGAGCCTGCTTAGGATTCTGTCTCACCTTCTCTCTGCCTATCCCCTGCTTGTGCACACACACTCTCTCTCTCTCTCTCTCAAAATAAATAAATAAACTTAAAAAATTTTTAAAAAGGAATCTCTGCACCCAACATGGGGCTTGAGCTTACAACCCCAAGACCAAGAGTCTCATGTTCTACCAACTGAGCCAGCCAAGCACCCCGGGTTGTAGAAGTTGTTTATATATTTTGAGTACTAACCCTTTATCAGATACATCATTTGCAAATATCTTCTCATTCAGTAGGTTGTCTTTTAGTTTTGTTGATTGTTTCCTTTGCTGTGCAGAAGATTTTTATTTTGCTGTGCAGCAAACCAATGGTTTGCTTTTGTTTCCCTTACCTAAGGAGACACATCTAGAAAAGGGAATATTTTTCTTTTCTTTAAATATTCTTCAGGCTATGTTTCAATGTTCATTATTCTTCATAGTTTACTAAAAGGCAGATTATTTCGATCTATAGATTCAGATATGTCTTCAGGTCTTCCCTGGCTATCACTGTTAATTGACCTGTGTTCTTTTTTCATCTGGATGATGACTGTGCTCTCCACATAAGGCATCTTTTTTTTCCTCTATAGAGGAAGAGTACAAAGAGAACATATTTCTCTTTTTTTGTTTTAAGTAGGCTCCATGCCCAATTTGGGGCTTGAATTCACAACCCCAGGATCAAGAGCTGGAAGCTCTACTGACTGAGGCAGCCAGATGCCCCAAAGAGAACACATTTTTAGAGCAAATCTAATTTTTGCTTTCCACCATATATTCATTCTTGTTTTGTCAGTTTCTTATGCATGTTTTAAATCTATAGCAACATGTTTTAGTTTTACTTATATTCTTACCTAAACCAGCTGCACTTTGATTTGAGTGCACATTATTGCTTGTTCTTGACTTCAAGTCCAGTGTTCTTGATGCTGCAATTGAAAGAATTCGCTTTGATCATGTGTTTCTGTGTTTTTTTTTTTTTTTCCTGCTCCATTCTCACTAACTTAGGTGATGGAACAGAATACAGAGCCCAAGTAACAGAAAAATATTGTATCACGTGGGATAAGAAGTGTTTATTTGGAGAACCTGAAGATTTTCATCCTGGAGTTGCTCAGAAAGATCAAGAACTGTTGGAACATCTGTTTGACGTGGATGTGAAAACCGGTGAGCAGCCACAGACAGTGGTGCTCCAGGGGCCTGCTGGAGTTGGGAAAACAACCTTGGTGAGAAAAGCAGTGGTAGATTGGGCCCAGGGAAATCTCTACCAGCAGAGGTTTAGCTATGTTTTTTATCTCAATGCAAGAGAAATCAACCAGTTGAGAGAACGAAGTTTTGTTCAAATGATATCAAAGGACTGGCCCAGCACAGAAGGCCCCATTGAAAGGATCATGTCCCAGCCCAGCAGTCTCCTTTTTATTATTGATAGTTTTGATGAGCTGAACTTCGCCTTTGAGGAACCTGAATCTGTGCTGTGTGAGGATTGGACCCAGGTACACCCAGTGTCCTTCCTTCTCAGTAGTCTGCTGAGGAAAGTGATGCTCCCTGAGTCATCCTTATTGGTGACAACAAGACTCACAGCTTGTAAGAAACTGAAGCCTCTGTTGAAGAATCCGCATTCTGTAGAGCTGCTAGGTATGTCTAAGGGTGCAAGAGAGGAGTATATTTACCAATGTTTTGAAGACCGGAAGAGAGCTTTGCAAGTATTCAATTCACTAAGAAGCAATGAGATAGTTTTTAGCATGTGTAAAGTCCCCCTAGTGTGCTGGCTTCTTTGTACCTGTCTGGAGCAGCAAATGGAGAAGGGTGGTGACATCACGTTAACCTGCAAAACAACAACAGCTCTGTTTATCTGCTATATCTCTAGCTTGTTCCCACCAGTAGATGGAAACAGTCCTAGTCTACCCAGCCAAATCCAACTGAGCAGCCTGTGCCACTTGGCTGCCAAAGGAGTGTGGACCATGACATCTGTATTTTACAGGGAGAATCTCAGAAAGCATGGCTTATCTAAATCGGATGTGTCAATTTTCCTGGACCTCAATATTCTTCAAAAGGACATGGAGTATGAAAATTGCTACATGTTCACCCACCTGCACGTTCAGGAGTTTCTTGCAGCTATGTTCTATATGTTGCAAGACAGCTGGGGAACCAAGAACAGTTCCTTTCAGTCTTTTGAAGACTTGAAGCTGTTGCTTGAAAGCAACAGTTATAAAGACCCCCATCTGACACAGATGAAATGCTTTTTGTTTGGCCTTTTGAATGAAGATCGAGTAAAACAATTGGAGAAAACTTTTAACTGTAAAATATCACTAGAGATAAAATGGAAGATACTTCGGTGGCTGGAGATGATGGGGAACAGTGAAGATTTTCCAGCGCAGGTGGAATTTCTGGAGTTGTTTTTCTATCTGTATGAGACTCAAGATGAAGCTTATATAAGCCAGGCAATGAGCTATTTCCAAAAGGTTGTCATTAATATTTGTGGGAAAATCCATTTGCTTGTATCTTCATTCTGCCTTAAACACTGCCAATGTTTACGGACCATGAAACTGTCGATAACCATGGTATTTGAGAATATGTTAAACTCAAGCCCCCTAGCTGAAATTTGGTAAGCATGGGAGTGCCCTGTCAGGGAGTGAGGGAAATAGATTTCATTGGTAGGAGGGGAGGAATTGTTGAGCTGAAGTCCCAGAGCCAGGATAACCCTTCAGGCTTGTCCTACCTTGAGGCAAGGAGGGGAAGCACTGAAACCCCTTATTGACCAGTCGTGGCTACTGGTGAGGAAAGGACAAAAATATGCCTGAAGTGGCTCTCTTGGCCTGAGGGCAATGCCAAGAAAGGGGCTTAGCTGAGAGCTATCACCTGTCAACACCCTTAACTAGAAATAATCTTCAGGTCACATCCTAGCACAGAGTTGCATCCAGTATGGTACACGTTTAACTTTTAAAAAGAATGCCCTCCAGAAGAACAAGGGAATGGGAATTTCTTGCTGAAGCTCGTTTATATAGGGCATCTATCTGTTCCTCTATAAGCTGCTGACCTAGCTCACCTTCCCTGTAGCCTAGACATAGGTCAGTCTTTGCTTTGTAGTTCATGAAAGGTCTCAGCCCTTTAATACCTAACTGGAGAGAGTCCGATGTGGGTAAGAAATAGTAGGGGCTGAATGAGTATTTTGAAATAATGAGTGTTTAGAGTTTTATGCCTATTATTTTATCCTCTTCTCTTCCTTGAATTGCCTTTTCTGACTCCATCTATGCCTGGGGGAAGAATTCAACTATGGGATTAGCTCCAGATTTAACTAAACTTGAGGGCAAAGTATGTGGTATATAGTTATCTAGTGCATGGGAAATTTAATCTCTTACCCAGTTCGATGCTGGTCAAAAGCATATTTCAGATTACAAAACTTTGATTCAGAGAAGTTTGCCTGGATAGTAAGTGCACAATTGTCGGTTCAACACACATCAGATAATAGCTAGCATCTGCTTGACCATATGCTGACAGTCTTCTAAGTCCCAGCTCATTTAGGCTCTCAACAATCCTAGTAAAAGCCTACTAGTAAAAACCCTGAGGTATCAAAAGGTATTAATTTGACTGAGGTCCTACATAGGATTGTGAGTCCTTGGTTTTCCAGCTTAACCCACACTGCCTTGTTGCCATTAGGTACAATCACAGAACCATCTCCCTTGTAAGGACATACATTTCATTTCTCCTTAGCTGTGAGAGAGAAAGTTCTAGGCTTGGATGCCATGATCTTTACTGTTCTCGGGGTGTTGTAAGTAATCTCATTCAGTCTGTCTTCTCAATTCTGACTTAGTGGTTCTGTTTAAAGATGTGATTGAACCCAGGGCATTAGAGTGTATTTTATGCCCAAGAGTAAACATTAAGAAGACATTCTGGCCATTATATTGCTAGTCCTCAGGCTACCTTCCCTTCATCTGTGTTCTAGTGTTATATAATACTAGAGTTGGCCTTGTTGCTAAAATAAGAGTCTGAGAAACCCAGTGTTCTAAGAGGCACATTATAGGTGGGTCAGTGTCTTCCACAACAAAACAGTGTTGTAAATTTAATAGCATTGCTATCTGTCTTGTTCACCATTATATCCCATAACATTTCTTTTTTTTTAAATATATATATATATATTTTTTTTTTTTCTTTTTTGGACACAGAGCATGCACATGAGTGGGGGAGGGGCAGAAAGAGAGAAGGAGAGAGAGAATCCCAAGCAGGCTCTGCACTGTCAGCGCAGAACCTGAATCGGGGCCCAAACTCACAAACTGTGAGATTATGAACTGATCTGAAATCAAGTGTCCTACACTTAACCTACTAAGCCACCCACACACCCCTTCCACAGCATTTCCACATAGTAGGCACTTAAATGTTTGAATGAATGATGTATTACCTAGTTTTCTCAAATTTAAGACCTCAGGTGATAACAGAGGCCAGCACTCTGCAATGTTATTCAATCCCATTTTTAAGTAAGGTATGGGGAAACCAAGATTTATTGGGTAGTGAAGGAGATCAGGATATGCCACCCTAAAATATGCCACTTTTCCATTAGAAGTATTCTGAGCTGAAAGCATTTGAGTTCCTGAAACTCCTTACCTGCCTACAAGCAGAGACTCTAAAAAGAACTCGACTGTCATGAATCCCCTCCCTGCAAGCAATTTCTCTAATTTCTTCTTGGAGGCAAGTTGGCACCACACCCAGGTGGATGTTGTCACAAACTATCCTGTCTCTTCTCTGTTCTCTTAAGGGTCCATTTATCTTTCCAACAAGTCCTTTGTTTTTCCACAAGTGCCTTTTCTCCCTCTGCCTTTCCCCCACTAAATTAGCTATATAAACCCAAATAATGCCTACATCTCTGAGTTACTCATCACTGAATTCCTCCCATGTAGGTCCACAATGCACATGCTAATACAATTTGTATGCTTTTCTCTTGTTAATCTGTCTTTTGCCCATCCAATTTAGAGGGCCCCAGCGAGAACCTAGGAGGCCACAGGGAAAAAGATGCTTTTTTTCCCTCTCCTATAGCAGCTATTTGTATAAGGCAACATGCTAGACTTTTATGTATTTTAATATAAATAAAACAGCTACCGATTGTTAGCATTTACAATGGGAAACATTTGTTAAGTATTTTGTATAGATTCTTACTGAATCTTCACAGTAATCCTAAGAAATAGATACTATTATCTTCATTGTTTAAGATGAAGAAACTGAGGCTCGCCTAGGCTAGTGATGTTGCCAGATCAGCCAGTTTAGTGAAAGGCAGAGTTGGGACTCAGGACTGTTTTGTTGTAGAGCTTTTGCTTATAATCATAAGGATGTCCTCTGCTTTATTCCTTACTAACCTTTGTTTATAATGAGTTTGTCAATAGTATGCCTATTAGTTAAATTATACAACAGTTACAAATTTACAGAGTGCCTTTGTGTATGTACTAAATTTGACTATTAAATCCCCACAGTCCTGTGAAGGGAGATAGAATTTCCATTTCGTACATGAAGAGAGCTCAGAGCTCCTAGAACTGATGTGACTTCCCTAAAGTGATGTAGCTAGTCAACGGGAGAACTGGAGCTCAAAACCCGGGCTTCTTAGTCTCCACCCTGTCCCCAGATGTCTCCCTATTACTCCTATTCTTACTCTTTGTAGTCTTATTTTTCTTCTTGATACTGGCTCTTTGGGTATTTGAAGACCTCCGGATTGTCCTTCCTAAGTCTCTTCCTCCAAAGTGAAGTCTCTAGTGTAGTTTTGTGTGTTGAAGAAATATGTTGAGGGGGTGAGAGAGTTACTAGGCAAACAAAGCCTTTGGGGTGCCAAGAGGAAGATTTTCGGGTGGACTGCGCCCACAACAGACCTGCACTGATGTACTCACCATTTCCGGGGTATACTTCCTTTCACCCAACACCATCTTCTGACAGGTGCCCTGGTTGAAACAGATAAATCCATCTTTTCTTTTTCTCAATTATCTAGGCGAAGGGATGGTGGTCATATTACTCATTGCTGGCAAGATCTCTGTTCAGTGCTTCATACAAATGAACACTTGAGAGAATTGGACCTGTGTCATAGCAACCTCAATGAATTAGCCATGAAGACTTTTTATCAGGAACTGAGGCATCCAAGCTGTAAACTACAAAAGCTATTGTAAGTTTGGCATCAGAAAGTCTAATGGAGTTATTCCACCTTCTTTCTTTGTCCCATTGGCTACTACTTATTAGGGGATCCAATAGTAAACAAATATTTAAAATCCACTGTGTAAACTACTTTAAGAACACCACCAGTGGAAACCTCTGGGGATGTGGAAGCATAACTAACTTGTTCTGGGAGTGTAGCAGCTATTGACATGTGTTTTTTGAGGCCCAATAAGGAATTTTGTACGTGAGGAAGGACACAGAGCTAAGGCATTCTAGGCAGCTCAATAGCATTTCCAAAGATAGGTTCTGGAGTACACTACTTTTCTTTTTAATTTCTTTCTCTTGAAGAATAATTTACTTTTTTTTTTTTTTTAATTTTTTTTTTCAACGTTTATTTATTTTTGGGACAGAGAGAGACAGAGCATGAACGGGGGAGGGGCAGAGAGAGAGGGAGACACAGAATCGGAAACGGGCTCCAGGCTCCGAGCCATCAGCCCAGAGCCCGACACGGGGCTCGAACTCGCGGACCGCGAGATCGTGACCTGGCTGAAGTCGGACGCTTAACCGACTGCGCCACCCAGGCGCCCCAAGAATAATTTACATTTAATAAAAGGCACAGATAGTAAGTGTCTAGTAAGCTTGATGATTGCATATACCTATGTAACCAATACCCAAAACAAGCTAGAGAATAATTCCATCACCTCTGGAAGTTTCCTTCTACCCCTTTCTATTAGTTTTCTTACCCTATCCCAGTCTCAAAGGCAACCACTTTCTAAATTTATAACTATAGATTAGCTTTGTCTGTTCTTGTAAATAGTTTTGATTGCTTCATGTAGTATGTACGTGTTGTGTCTGTATTCTTCTGCTCAACAAAATGTTTTAAAAATTTACCTATGTAGTTGTATGTTTTAGTAGCCTGTTTCTTCTTATTGCTGATGTGAGTATTCCATTGTTTGACCTACTGCAGCTCATTCATTCTCTTTTGAATAGACTCCTGTGTTGTTTCCAGTTTTGGGCTATAATGAATAAGGCTGCTATGACTATTCTTGCACGAATTTTGTATGTGTGTGATCTATGTTCTCATCTCTTGGGCTAATATTTAGGAATGGAACTGCCAGTTTACAGATGGATGTTTAACCTGTTAATAAATTGCCAGCCAGCCCTTTAGAGTGGTTGTGCCATTTTGTAGTCCTACTGACAATATATGAAAGTTCCGGCTGCTCCTCATCCTGGCCAACATTTGCTACTTTATTATATCCTAATTTGATTCTACAGACCCTATCATTTTTTTACATTTGCTGGTTTACATGGCTTTCCCCCTTTTGTCTACTGGTTCTACTAAGAGCTGGAACTGATGCTATTTAGTACTGTATTCAATGCCCATCCATGTGCTCAAGGCCTAATTGGTGCTCAGTAATATGTATTGAATACTGAACAAACGATTAGCACTGGAGATTGATGTTCTTTTTTTAGGGGAGGGGGACAGGCTTCTCCTTAAATATTTCCCTTGGAATCTCCATGTTTTCAGTGAGATCTGACCTTAGATTTAAAGTACCAGATTTGGTCTGGTTTTGCACCATAGATGGGGTAGTCAACTGCATAGATGTCATGATTAAGGGGTTCCTGGAAATCCTTTTCATTCACCCCCAGGCATCTCCCCTACATTTTCCTTTTACTGAAAGTCACCAATCTAAAGACCTGAAATTGCTACTGCCTTCTCTGGGGTTAAGTGGCTCCCCCTCTTTTACAGTGCAAGGGTCCCTTAGGGGGTGACACCATGAAAGTAGCTCTTAGTCTTTCTTACCTCAATGTGGTCTTACTTCCTCAAGTCCTTTTTCCTTAACACATGAAATTGTACTTCCAATTTATATTTAGTGAGTGCATTAGGCACTTTTACTGGATGATGATGGTTAATGCTGTAAACAGGTGAAAGTTTTATTTTCCTGTGCTTGGCTAGAAGGGGGGTGAGGGTGAAGGTTAGGTGGTGGGTGAAAGGGAGGAGAGGTGATGTTACACAGGGGTGTTTTGAACAGTTAGTGAGCAGTGTAAGCATATTAGGCATTTGGGACTACCAGAGACACTTACAGAAGAATCAGATATAGCTAACAGTGACTGAATAGCAGATAATAGCTAGGAAGAAAAAGGGGCATATTTAACTTCCTCCCATATTTAGCTTTGGGCTGTCTCTGTACACTTAAAGTCCACAAGATGACAGCGTCTTTTGCAGTGATATGTTTTGTTAATGTTGCACATCAAACAGTTGATATTAATTATGAACTCACCTGGGGTTATTTAAAGGATTAAATGTGAATTAATGCTGTAATGAAGTATTTGGAATATTCCTCATTATTTCTGGTAGTCATACCTAGGATTAAGAGTTCAAAACCTCCTCTTCTGCTTTTCCTGATGTTATTACCTTCTTTTCCTTCAAGGTCAAAAAAAAGTTGAGGATATCAGTTGTCAGGATGTAATGGCTATCTAAGTAGTAACCCAATTATTTTTCTAAGCAACATTCTGAAACTCAGATTTCTGAGAAATCGTGAAATCTGAGAAATCCACAGTAAAATAAGAAACGGCAGGAATATTTAGTTATCTAAGAGTTGGTTTTGAAAAGAAAGTGAGTGCTATAACCAGGATACGAATAATTTTGTAATTACCCCCTGCCTATTTTTATTCTGAAGGATGAGATTTCTTTCTTTCCCTGATGGTTGTCGGGATATTGCTAGTTCCTTGACTCACAACCAGAATCTGATGCATCTCGACCTGAAAGGGAGTGATGTAGGGGACAATGGAGTAAAGTCCTTGTGTGAAGCCTTGAAAAACCCAGAGTGTAAACTACAGAATCTGAGGTAAGTTCTGAGGTTTTTTTTTTGTTGTTGTTGTTATAACTGAGACTTTTGTCTGTCCAAACAGACTTTACAGCCTGGATTTACTATTCATAGGGCCAGCTTAAATCTATTTTCATGATATAGAATGGCAGGAATCCCCAGATTCAGGGTGATTTTCTCCTGACAGGACTTTTAATTGCTTCCATCCCCCCCCACTAAAGACCCCTCATTGTATGGTTCCATGTCAACATTTCCTAAATTAAAAAAAAAAAAAAAAACAGACCCAGAATTTAAAATTATTTATATTTAAGTGCAGCCATATGTGTATTTATTGTATCTTTGAACGCTTACAGAAAAGAATGTACTAATGCTAACTGGGGCCAGTGTTAAACAGGCTCAGTTTTACTTAAGTTTTGATAACAAATCACCCTCCCCTTATAATTGCAACTCGGTGACCAGTACAGAAAGCTGAGGAAGAAGAGCACAGTGACTGTCAACTGTCAAGGTGTTTGTTCATTCTCACACACTGTGGATCCTAGTGCTGGGTCTGATTTTCTCTGAAAGTGAGAGGGTTGGCAATCCTACTAGGTCCCCACATTTGTGTGACTGGTTTCAAGGGAGATATTATTTTCCAGTGAAGGGTTTTTAATTCAGTTTTTGACAAAATAAAGCCAAACCAGAGCAAAATAAAAAATCATTGCAATAAATTTTACCTTAGAAGTTTTTATCCCTGGACTCATTTGAGGGGTGGGGTGGGGTGGGGAAATAAGGCAGAACCTTGATGCATGAAAGGCCAGGATAGGCCTGTATTTGTTAGAAGCAAATTATAATCTATATGTAGAAATCACAAGTAAAATGTGGAACAAGACCTTCTTTTTGACCATAGGCAGGTGAACTATATTAACATTGGGAATTCTTAAGTCTCCCCAGTTGTTGTAGGATGAAATTTACTTGTAGCATATCCAGAAAGTTGTTGGATGCTTCTTGAACATGGGTTGAGTTCAATTGTCGGCAGGCCAGGTTGGGGGTTATTAGTATTACCATCTGTGAAGTAGTTTTAGGACATGGTGAGGAATTTTCAGTAACCTGCAGCTTCTAGTATGGAACCCAAGTGAGAAGTAGGTCATTGGTTCTTCTGTCTACAAGCGAAACATGTTAGTAGCAAAAAGCTGTTAAATGGAAGGAAAGATGTTTTCTTACAGTGGGAGCCATGGGTCCAAGACAAAAATGCCTTGGCCCTTGACAGAGCAGCAGGACTGGGGTAAGATCTTTTTCATCAGCTGAGATTTGAACAATGTTTTCCACTGATAAGCCTTAAGGTAGACCCAGTTACTAGGCTTTCAAATAGGAAACCATCTGTCTGTGTCAACTAGTGGGGCTCCTTATATCAGTAAATAAAATGTTTTGGTGGCAGAAGTCACCAGAGCTTTGTAATAATTGAGCACTGCCTTACGTAGGATTGGATGCTCTCCCATAGTGGGTAACTCCTGGAAGTAATCGATAGTCTTATAGACTTCGTATTAACGCTCTGGAGAAAGTTTCAATTTTACGTTTACTTTAGACCTCATGTCCTAACAGCTGTGGACAGTTGACTGGCTACGGTAGTCTGGTTTAACATTGTCATGCTGAGCTTAACATTGTCAAATTGCATTTTGCTGTTTTACTATTCCCACTGATTCTAGTTGATGTGAGCAGTGAAAGCATTGATAAATCAGTAGACCTCTGCCAGGCTGCCTCACAGAAGATCCCCAATTACTGTAGGAACTTTGCAAATATAAAGTATTTAAGAAAACTTTAAATTCCTGAGAGACTCCTGTCAGCCCTTATATGTGAGCGTACTGGTGGAAAGGTACATACAGTCACTAATTTCATGTGAAGATTTCACTCTACTGTGTACTAAAGGTTCCCCTCCAGAAGGGGGAGAAGTATCTACTCTCCTTGTCCTGATAATTTTTTCCACATTGTGGGCCTGATGATAGGGTAGTTCTTAAAGTATGTTGAGCAAATAAGGGGAAAAACAAAAACCTTGGGCAAACTAATAATGCCTCATTGTGCCCAGAATCCTTTCTTATTTTGCCTGTGCTCTGCAATTGGGGGTTAATAGCAAGGTGAGGGAGCAGTTGATTCCACCAAACAGCCACATGAAGAGTACCAAAACAGTATTAACGTAAAACACTCCCTACATCTTCAAAGATTTTGAATTAGAGAATATTCCGGAAGGGTACCATCTAAAACAGTTGCAAGAACAAACTGATTAGTTGATCAAGATAAGAGGAAGATGGGGCACCCAGGTGGCTCAGTCAGTTAAGCGTGTGACTCTTGACTTCAGCTCAGGTCAAGTTTGTGAGTATGAGCCCCACATCGGGATTGGGATTCTGTCTCCCGCTCTCTGTCCCTCCCCTGCTTGTTCTCTCTCTCTCTCAAATTAAAAAAACAAAACAAAACAAAAAAACAACAAAGAACTTTAAAACAAAACAGATAAGAGGAAGGTGCCTGGGAATAACAACCACAGCCTTGACTGTATTATTAACTAGAATAAAATAGTTTATAAGATAGCATATGGACCAGTGGAAAATTTTTGCTTTTCCAGGAGTTTAGAATCGTTCTAGTGTATTATAATTGTTGACAACCATAAAGAGTTCAAAAGTATAATGGGTCCTCATAAATATGAAAAGACTTTGGAAAAGTGAGAGTGTATATACTTTGAAATCAGAATTTCTGCCACCTGCACAGATGACCCAGCAGGCAGAGACTTGAGTTGGAAACTGAACTACTAGTCCTGTTTTCTCTATTACAAAAACATCTGTTTTAGTCATTAACTTTCATAAACCCTGATATATATCCATAGCCTCATAATCATACCAGACAAGTGCTTTTTTTTTTAAGTTTATTTTTGAGAGAGAGCATGCTGAAGGGGCAGAGAGAGAATCACAAGCAGGCTCTGCACCATCAGCACAGAGCCTGATGCAGGGCTTAAAGTCATGAACCATGAGATCATGACCTGGCCAAAATGGAGAGTTGGATGTTTAACTGAATGAGCTACCTGGGCACCCCCCAAACAGGGTTTTAAATGAAACGTAATTTAAAGATTTAAGCCCTAAGTTCAAACATAAATAGGAATATAAGACAATAATCGATTTTGCCATCTTAATTTGAATAATATGAAGAATAAACTGTAACAAATTGGTAAGAAAGTAATTTATGTTCTTGTTTTGAAGTTTAGCATTTTTAGAAATTTTTAGATAACTAATTTCTAAAATATTCTATTAATCTAAGTTTCCAAAATCAGTAAATTTGGAAACTATATTTAAGTCAACATTAAAGATAGTATAACCACTGCTAAGAATATTGTAACACAGTACACCTCAAAAGTTGATTCAAAAAGCATAATATCTGCAATATTGTCTGATTCCAAGATTTGTAAGATTCCAGTTTATAAATATGTTGGTCATTTATGCAACTCATTTTAATTATGTACTGAGATTTATATTTATATGCTTTAAATATTAATATAAATAATATTTAACCTTCAGGGGAAATGTGAGAGATTTAGAAAGTTCTTTAAGATTTTTTTTTTGGTTAGGGGCGCCTGGGTGGCTCATTTGCTTAAGTGTCTGACTCTTGATTCCAGCTCAGGTAATGTACTCATGGTCCATGGGTTCAAGCCCCATATCTGGGCTCTATACTGACAGCGTGGAGCCTGCTTCGGATTCTGTCTATCCTCTCTGTCCCACCCCTGTTTGTGCTATCTCAAAATAAATAAATTAACTTAAAAAAATTAGTAAATAATAAAGACTTTTTTGTTAAAGAAATACAAAGCCATATGTGATCTTAAATCTATGTTTGCATTTTTATTTCTCACTGTGGTAAATTCAGGAATGAGTCCCAAAACCATCTTTTAAGTTTCAAGTTACAGAACAAATTAAGTTAATCTAATGATTTAGCTTGATTTGTAATAGGTCCATGAAGCCTATCTTGTTCATCCAAAGACCTTCTCTTGCAGTGAACAATTTCTGCAACCATATCCCTTTAGAAACAACTCTTCTGCCGTTTCTCAATTTCTCATGCCTGTCAGAAAAATAGGGGTGCTTGGGTGGCTCAGTTGGTTAAGCATCCAAATCTTGATTTTTGGCTCAGGTCAGGTTTTTGGTTAGTGAGATGAAGCCCCGTGTGGGGCTCCATGCTTTCAGCGCAGAGATTGGGATATTGTCTTCTCCCTCTCTCTCTGCCCCTCCCCCGCTCAGACAGGGAGCTTGTGCACATGCCTGCTCGCTCTTAAAATAAATACAGTAAAAAAAAAAAAAAAAAAAAAAAAAAAGAATCTCGCATTCAAATAAAAAGTTACAAAATTCTCGGGCAACCTAGAGACCGCATAGCAGACATTTTCACAAAAGAACATTCACATAGCTGTTCTGAGGTCCTGGAGGGTTCATCCTCCAGGGCAGCAGACCCTTCTAACTGAGGAAGGGCCACTTTCTCTTGAGCAATGCCTCTTGAGTGGCAATTTTCTAATCCTGTGCTGCCAGAAGCACAAAAGAGCTTATTCCACTGAGCCTCAGCTCCTAGAGAAAACTGGCATCATGCATCAGATAAAGTCCTGCCCTGACTGTGTCTCACACCAGGAGATGCTTATTCTTGACACGTGGATTCCTTCTGAGTGAGCTGCATCAAGGACCACCTAATGGACCTGTACCCAGTCACAGCTGGTCAGAGCCACAGACTGCAATCAATGAGAACAAAAACAATGAGAACAAGTTTATAATTTTCTTGCTTTTTAAAATTTATATCCAGGGGCGCCTGGGTGGCTCGGTCAGTTAAGCGTCTGACTTCAGCTCAGGTCATGATCTCACGGCCCGTGAGTTCAAGCCCCGCGTCGGGCTCTGTGCTGACGGCTCAGAGCCTGGAGCCTGTTTCAGATTCTGTGTCTCCCTCTCTCTCTGCCCCTCCCCTGTTCATGCTCTGTCTCTCTCTGTCTCAAGAAAAATAAATAAATAAACGTTAAAAAAAATAGAATTAATAAA